CCCCCCCCCCGCCCCTACTCACCTCCCACCCCTACTATCCTACTTCTTGAAACAAGACCCTACCTCTAAAAGCCTCATAGTCTCCCAAAACAGTGCCACAAGCTGGGACCAGTGCCGAAACACATGAGCCTATAGGGGATATTTCACATCCAATCCACAAAAGCAGGATACCGGAAGGCAAACCTATAATGGTAAAAATGAGCAATACGAGACTCTAAGTTCTTAAAATGTCTCTGCTTCATTGTTTGTGTACTACCCTGTTAAACCCTAGTTCCATACATCAGACAGGCCAAGTCTTGGCTGTACCCAGCTCTGGTCCCTTAACTTAAGGGAAGAAGAACCTGAAGGTCCACCCTGAAGTTGAGGGTTGCCGTGTCCAGGCATTTGCAATCTGAGCATGTTACTTCAGTAATATGAGCAGCCTTGCACACAGCAGCTAACTCTCCTGGCCTCTTACATGTTTGCTGCAGCCGTGAGAGCAAAACTCCACAGACTAGGTGGCTGAAGCAAGAGGAATTTATTTTCTGACAGTTTGGAGGCTTGAAAGTCCAAAGCGACATGTCATGGGGTTTGGTTCCTCCCGAGGCTCTTTTCCTTGGCTTCCAGACAGCCACCCTCGCTGTGTCTCATTCAGCCTTTCCTCTGTGCTCTCCTGATGTCATCTCCTCTTCTCACGAGGACACCAATCCCGCTGGGGTGGAGCCTACACCAAAGACCTAACTTTAACTCAGTGAATAGTTTGAAAAATCTTCTGTTCAAATCCAGCCACATTCCAAGGACTTTCATACACAAACGCAGAAGGCACAAATTAGCTCATAACAGAATCTGTAAAAATCGGTGTTATGTGGAGGAGGCAGACAAGAGCATCACTTAGACAATGTTTTCTAAATAAGCCACCATACAGAGATCATATTGTCAATATTGTGCTTATTACTTTCCTGTTGCTATGATAAAAAAAAAAAAAACATGACCAAAAACTACTTATGGAAGATTTTATTTATGGTCCCAAAGAGGTAAGAGTCCATCGTGGCAGAGAAGAACAGCAAGAGGCAGGCACAGCAGCAGGAGAGGGAAGCTGAGGGATTACATATCAATCACAAGCAGAAAGTGGAATCGGCCCTGGTGGCTCCACACAGCGATTTTACAGCAAAGAGTGGCAATATGCGGTTGCCACTGAGAGAAAGCCGCAGTTATTTCTGAGGATGCCGTTAGTTACCCTTTTGTCTTAGTTAGGGTTACTATGGCTGTGATGAAACACCATGACCAAAAGCAAGTTGGGGGGAAAAGGGTTAATTTGGCTTACTCTTCCAGGAAGTCAGGACAGGGCAGGTTACTGGCTTGCTCAGTCTGATTTCGGAGAGAACCCAGGACCACCACCCCAGGTATAGTACGACCCACAATGGACTGGGCGCTCCCACATCAACCTCTAATTAAGAAAATGCCCTACAGGCTTGCCTACAGAGTGACCTTATGAGACATTTTCTTTGTGGGTGGTCCCCTCCCCTCAGATGACTTTAGCTTGTGTCAAGTTGACATAAAACTCTCCAGCAGAGCAAGTGAATTTGCAAGTCAGACATGAACTCTCAAAGCTGTCTCCGGTGACATAATTCCTCCATCAAGGCCACACCTTCTAACCCTCCCCCAAATACCACCACCAACTGGAGCCCGGGTGTTCAAATATCCAAGCCTATGGGGACATTCCTCATTCAAAACAGCACAATCAGTATTACCGCCATTATAACTACTTTTTTTTCTGGGATATTGTCACTCACTTCAGAAAACTAAATTTTCATCTGTAGAAGAATTATACCTTAGTCGTTTAGATAATTAAGATGTCTAAATCCAAATCCCAGCTCCATTTGTTAGCTGAGTGGCCTTCATAAATGATGTTAATTTTTGTGCGCCTCGATTTTTCAGTCTGTAATAAGGAAGGAAAAAGTAATATCTGCTCTGTAAGGTGGCTGAAAGGATTAAAAGAAGCAACGAATTTAAATGACCAGCTATTAGTACATGCTCAATCAATGATGGTCATTGCCATTAACGGTGTAGAGATTTGCCCCTGCTCCATCTTTGTCAGCCAGTAGAGGTCTCCACCATATCCAGCAGGGGGTGGGAGGCGCTCAGAGCAGCTTCCAAGCTTAGTGGTAGGGAAACTAAGAGTCACAGCTCTGTCTGAAGGTAGAAGAGGCTGGAAATAAGAGAACAGGAAGTAGGCTCCCATGGCAAAGAGTCACTTGAACAGGTGAACATGAATGAAGATTGTTGAAGGTCTAGTATTGATGTCTACTGACACTAACCTTAGTTGTATCTCAATTAGCTCATAAATCTAGAGTTTAAAAATTAATGGTAAGAAAATGGGAAGGCAAAAAAACATATGTCATGGACAAGCAGAAAGAACGAATTGACAAGTGTTTGTAAACTTCTGTGGAAACAAGAAACCCTGCTAAATAAACATTTAATAATGCTCATATTAGCTGGCTTCTCCTTCATCGTGAGCGTGGATATATCCATGCCTGAGTGTAGCTTCTCCTGCGGTATATTTTCTTTAACCTCCTTTTGCCAGTCAGGCACACACCTCCAAATTTAATTATTCTGTCAATTGTGTTTTAAATTGTACTGATTTCCATGAACTGCTTGTGGTATCCATTTGTTGATCTGTTCCTCCTGAACCCTATCTTCACACCCACCAAAAGCTGGAGAGGCAATTAAACCGAGGACGGTGAGAGTTAGTCAAGAGGAGTCAAAGCATAAAGGTAAAGGGAGTGGTAACACTGGGGATTCAAAAGAGCACGGGGGGGAAGCACACACACACACTAAAAAGTACATTAACCGAAGCAGGTAGAGCCACGGAGGGAAGAGAGGCGAACCGGTAGAATCCAGCTTGCTCCTCTTCCATCTCTCTCAGCACCAAGGACAGAGCCTCTGAGCCGCTAACCCAAACAACGTTCAGGGGGGTCCCTCCCAGCTCCTCTAGGGAACACTGGTGCCTTGGAAAAGCAGCTAAGAAACATGCAGTGAGGGCTGATAGGAAAAGCAGCAAGAGTGGCTTACAAGTAATTTCCACCTCAGAGGCAAAAACCAGGTGATTTTCTTTCTGTATGGAAATGATTCCATAGTTGCCGTGTCCTGGGAAAGGCAAAGTTTGCTTTGCTTCGGCGTGTCTGCCGTCAGTAAATGGCTTCAGGAACTGAGGTGCCCAGCTCCACAGTCTCCAGACACCAGAAGAAATTTTCAGGGTAAGTGGATTTTTCTTTTCATTCCTAATTTAGTGGAAGATTATTTGATTAGCTTGGAATTCTTTGGTTCTCTAAAAATATGCATTAAATCTCCGAGCTACTCTAGGTTTAAAACACGAAACCCCGAGGAAGCCGTGTTCATTTCATTAAGTGGTTGGCGCTGCTCTCTTACCCCACCCCCACCCCAACTGTGTCCTGATGGGCTCTAGAATCTATATCAAGGCATACATAAAAGACAGAAAATAAAAGCCTGTAATTATTCCTGGGAGTTGCAGGGAAGTTGACTGTATTCATCTTAAGGGTTTTACTTAATTGTCAGAGTCGGGTATTTTCAAATCCCCATTTCAGCACCCCGGTAATGCAGGGCCGAGGGTTTAGAGAGACACCGTTTCCAATCTAGTTAAAGTCAAGCTGCTTCCAAGTCAGAATCCAATGATCCCAAGAGAGATATGTAGAGCTTGAAAGCATGATTGTGTGTGTTTTCTCCAATGATTGTGTATGATTTTGAAGGTGCTGTTGTTTAACTGTGGGACTTCCACTGCTTACCGTGGCTTCTTGGGTCAACAAAGTTCATGTAATTAGGCACTTGTGACACTTAACGCTTCTAGTTGAATCTAATACCATCTCAATGCATGCACAAACAATAACGAAGCCAAGTGGAACTCGGGTTCTAGACAAGCTCTGCATGCCTGTTCGCACTTCATAGGTAAAGCCCTTTGCTTACTGATACTACAAGGTCAGCAAACTGTCTGCCTTTGGGCAAGAAGGAAAGACAGCCATTTGACCTGGCCTTGGGATCTTGTAGAGCCCCATAGAAGGAGAGACAACGTGAGATTACTACTCAGATACTTGTTTACTTATAGCTGAATATTTTCAAGGGTCTGCATGACTAATGGTGGACGAGGGTGTGGTGTCGAGTAAAGAAAATACTGATAATATCCAAGAAGGATAACATCTAGAAGGCTCCTTATAATTGAATAATCAATATGTCAAATATCAAATAGAGTCTACCCGGTATTAAATTTAATTTCTAATGCACTGAAGTTTGCTATCAACTAATATTCACTTATTAGTTACTTGGTCTACTGTATTTCCCCATTTTATCTCTGTTTAGAATGACAACATGATCTGTTTTGGAATTGTTAAGGGAAGTAAGCATGCTTTATTGGTCAGGTTCAATGAGAAAAAAAGAACTGTATTATGTTAGCTAATGGATCTCAATAAAACCAACCATGGCTTTTCCTCTGTATACCTACCAACAATGTAAATATATCCAAATCTATAAATATGCTATATACTTCAATGCACTTGTGAATCTTCATTATAAAATGAATTCAAGAGCAATTTGCAAGAAGAAAGCACCATAGAAATGCTAAAGACTACCTCTAATAATAATGACAATATAACTCCCACCGGTTCTGTGAGCAGTGCACACCTGCCTTGACTTTAAAAAGCTGGGTAAGGAGATGTGCACACGCTACTGAACATGCACTATCTTCACATAATTCCCCACTCCAGTCTTGTCTACTTCCCCTCCATTGTGGAGGACTCAGGACAGACGCTCTGGACTCAGGTCTTGGGTTGAATCAGCTCCACCATTCACTGGTTTATGGTCTCAGCTAGAAATTAATCTCTATGTGACCCGTTCTCTTCATCTACTAGAACGGGGATGAGAATAACACTTTATTCTTCATGTTGTCAGGGAATTTCAATGTGATAAAGCTTATAAATGTTAGCTGTTATAATTATGAATTTTATCAGGCAGTTGGAAAGTCTGAGTTGAAGCAAAGGCTGGAAAAACTGGACCCTGGTGATCAGCATGTTCATTAGTGAAAAGATGACAGATACCAGGGACCTGGGATGTGAGGGAAGGTATGTCATGGAAGCCACTAGTTCATTTTGCCTTAGAGAAACCCACCTCAACCAAGGAATGACTCCCAGTATCAGTTTTTACCATGTAGACATACTAAGTAAGTTGTGAGTTTTCAACTTGAGAAGCCCCAATCAAAGGTTGGCTCACGCTATACACTGTGTAATTGTTTCCAAAGGAAGGAATCCAAACAAGAACTTGTTCTCTCCTAGTTTGGGAGGAATGACCCTCTTCTGTGTGTATACTCTTATGGCCTTTCCTCGGTACGTGGGGTGTGAAGGTGTTGGTCCATGGTCATTCCACCAATTGCGTGGGCCTGTGGTGAGAGAGTGTCTCAGCAGAGAGGATGTGACAGAGTAGAGATGTCCATTCTGTGGAGACCAGACAGAGAGTCACACTATGTGAGCTTGAGAAAATTACTGAACCCCTCTGTGTCTCTGTTAATTCCTAAAGGGAAGATGTCCATATCTTCCCTCAAGAGATACTGTAAGCATTAACAAATGTCACATGGGAAGTATTAGTGTCTGCCTGCTTAGCACCAGAAATATCCAGGAAGTGCTTGTCTTTGGAAGGGGCTACATACTCAAGATGTTTTGGTTTTATTATGTTTGGGGTTTGATTAATTCAATGTCTTTAAGGAAAAGGAACAAATAGTTCAATTATGTAAATCATTTTTTAAATATTTATTTTTGAGATTATAATACAAATGCATCATTTCCCACTTCCCTTTACTCCCTCCAACCTCTCCCACCCCTTTCCCTCTCCAAAACTCGCAGCCTCTCTTTTCACAAGTTATTGTTCCATGCATCTATGTACATGGATTTACACAGATATCTATCCGTCACCGGCTCAGTCCGTATAATGTTACTTGTATGTGCGATTCCAGGTATTGTGTGACCTTTTGGTATTGGATAACCAGTTGGTGTGCTCTTGCCCGGGGAGACTGTTTCTCCAGCTCTCAGAACTCCTCGGTTGCCTGTAGCTCTTGGTGTGGTGCTGAGGCCTCCTGGTCCTTCCCTCCTTCACTTTAGTTTGTCTATTGTTGTCGTCTGGGCTCATGTTAAACAGTCATGCTGGTGTGACATTGTGGGTTGAATGTCCAGGTGCACTGAGGAACTGAATATGTCCCAGTTAATGACAGCTTGTCCCTTCTGGCTTTCTGGCTTTTAAATTAGATCACACAGCCATCCTTAAAAAGGCTAGGACACACCAAAAAGACCAGGATGAATCAATACTTTATGTGAAATTCAACCTTCTTAAAATTCATGAGCAATGTTGTATGTAGTATATCTTAAGAGATCTGGGCTAGCAGTAATCTTCTACCCTTTGCCCCACCCCCATGGTATCTGTAATATATGTGCACACACGTGTGTCATGTGGTACAGAAATCAGAAGACGTCAGATGTCCTATTCTGTCACACTCTGCCTTATTCCCTGAGTCTCTCATTGGATTTGGAGCCACACAGACGGACAGCCACCAGACCCTAGCATTCTGTCTTAGATCCCCCACAGCACTGGGGAGACAGGCACTCATCCAGCCCTATACAACTTTTGACCTGGGTGTTAGAGATTTGAACTGAGATCCTCAAGCTTGCCCTGCAAATGCTCTTCCCCACGAAGCCAACTCCTTCACCTCCCTTCTTTACAGTCTCTCCTTCCATGCACTTTTAAAATATTCTTAGTGGCACTCACCAGCAATCTCCTAGTCACCAAGTCCACCAGATGATTGGCAGCTGTAGCTTATTTCTCTCTTTACCTTCTCACACCTCCCCATTAACAACAAAAGCCGCACGCTAGGTCTTAGGCTGGAGCAACACTTCTCCAGCAGGGAAGTTCTTTTGCACCCTCCTCCATTTGAGATTGAGTAGTGTCCAGTTTTTTGGTTATTACAACTAGTTGCTACACCAGGGACATTGTTGAACATCAACAATGCCTAAGACATCGTGCAAAGCAAAGAGTTATCAGCCCAGTTGGTTCATAGTACCACGGCTTTATGCATATAATTGCATTTGGTCCTCACAATAACCTATGAAGTGGGCATGATTTATTCTCAGTCTGCTGATGAAACAACTGGTCTATCATTACAAATTATTTGGAGAGTGATTATTAGGTTAATAAATTCTTCAAACTCCCAGCTTCATCCTGAGACTAGTTCACTATCCGTTAGCACATCTATCAGAAGGATAAAGAGGGAGAAACAACCCAGCTCAGAGTTATATAAGAAATCCTCATTTTAAAAGGAAAAAAAAAAAGATTCAAGGAGAAAAATAAAGAGGGGGGGGGGATGATTAGCCGAGAGGCAAGGAGCACTGTAGCACATCACACTCATCTCTGCATCCTTTTATCTCTCATACCCAGAACTCTGGAACAACCATGGTCTACCCACCTGCTGCTAGGGGAAAAAAAAAAATCTAAGACCGGAAATAGTACAATGTGAAAACACAAACCAGAAATCCATGTAGTTGTGCTTCCAACACCAGGTCCAGAACTGATTTGGGGAAGTGAGGACTGCCCTTCTTACTATCAGCCCTTGACATTCCCTGTGCACTGTTAAGTAGCTGTCAACCCTCTGGGCTGAGCACCAAGCCCGGCAACACAGTGATGAGAATCCCATGGCTTTATGCTTTCCTTCTTACTTGACAGGTGAGAAGAAGCTAGGGATCCATTAAGCAGGTGCACGCTCCAGGAGGAGGAGAGGCTGGCCCCTGCCTTGAAGGTGGCCCCGCTGTGAAAGGGAAGGTATGCTGAGCCTGAGCCTCCAAAGGGGAGGAATATCCTCGAACAATCAGAAAGCACTATGTTTTTCCAAAGGCTCTTGGCAGCCACGATGCTGTCTCCAGGGTAGCGGCTGCCCTTCTCCTAATAATGAGGAAATTATAATTATTACCAAGGATTATTATTATGTGTTAAAAACATATCGACTGCAAACAATGTGCTGTGATAAAGAACGTTTTTAAAGTAATTCTCTGAATGCACTCCAAGTTGGTCACCCCTTTCTAACATTTCTTCGTTTTAATACTTGTTTCAGACAGAAACGTTTTAAAGTGAGGTGTAAAATGATAGCCACGATGAAGTCAACCGTTTGATTTTAGGAGAGCTGTAGGTGACAAGAACTGAAAGGAAACCCTGTAGCCGTAGCTTTCTCCCGTCCCAACCGGCCCCAGGGTCCCGCAGCCGTTTATAAAATAAGGCTTATATTAATTACAAACTGTATGGCCTATGGCTCAGGCTTCTTCCTAGCTAGCTCTTATAACTTAACCCATTTCTATTAATCTATAAGTTGCCACATGGCCATGGCATTACCGGTCTGCTAGCATCTTGCTGCTCCTTTGGCGGCGACTGGCATCTCCCCCCAACTCTGCCTTTCTCTTTCCTGTCTCTCTCCTTGGATTTCCTGCCTGCCTCTAAGCTGCCTTGCCATAGGCCAAAGCAGCTTATTTATTAACCAATGGGAACAACGTATATTCATAGTATACGAAAGACATCCCCCAGCAGCCACCAGCTTCCACTCCAACTTAAACTCCCACCTCTCGAAGCCATCACCACATGGGGAGTTAAGACTCAATAGATAGATTTTGGGGGCACACCAACATTCAGACTGTGGCCACAGAGACTGAAGTAGGAAACACTTTTACCTGGGTTTCAGGATCACAACTCTGGGTCTCTTTCTAGCATCTGGCCCTGATGTACTGGTACCCTCTGCACACAGGCCTTTTCTTCAGAAGTGAGGTCTTTCGTGTCCCATGAACACATAAATATCTGGCGTTTAGAACCCAGAGTCCTTTCTGTAGGACTGGTCCCTACAAACTGGTGTCATGTGAGAAGCTGGTAGACTCAGGTATCTTTGCCACTCCAAACTCAAACCTCCTTGATTTTTTTTTTTAAGCAGAGTCTCACTATGTAACTTTGGCTGTCCTGGAATTCACAGAGATCCACCTGTGCTAGGATTAAAGGCGTATGCCACACTCCTGGTTCAACCCTGCATGATTTGAGGGCTTATTTTCCCCAGTGGGATGGTAACAAGACAGTTGCTATGGCTTCCAAATGCTAAAAAGCAAAACTGAAAGAATTAGAAGACCATAGTAAGCATAGGACTTAAGTTACATTACTCATGTCTTTGGGGTTGATCTCCCTGTTTGAAAAACAGGGCCATCAAGTTGGGTTAAGAGATTGAATGAAAATCACTCTTCACTGGCCCATGGGCTTTGGTGGGTAGTAGGGGACTTTATAGAGATTAAACATTTTCAAATAGTAACTACTCCTTTAAGATTAGGAACTTTCAAATAAATTTCTACATGTGGAATACCCATAAATACAAAAAAACAACCCACTGTACTAAATTCAAATACTCCATATTGTCTTCTATAATCTAGTCTCCAAAACCCATCATTCCCGATGTAAAATATGAGAGAGAATGGGATACTGAAGAAAGTTACAAGAGACTAACAGAGATGTGTGTGTGTGTGTGTGTGTGTGTGTGTGTGTGTGTGTGTGTGTGTGTGTGTGTGTGTAAATATAGCTGTAGAGGTCAGAGGAAGAAAAACAGGAAGGTGAAGGAGGAGAGATGACTTGGTGGGTATGAGCACTTACTGTACAAGTATTAAGACCTGAGTTCAGATTCCAGCATCCACAGAAAAAGCTGGATGTGGCCATATGCACTGTGAGGGGCAGAGACAAGAGGATTTCTGAGTTTCTGGCTGCATGCCTAGCTCCAGGTTGAGAGAGAGAGAGAGAGAGAGAGAGAGAGAGAGAGAGAGAGAGAGAGCCTATCTCAAAGGAATAAGGTGAAGAGGGATGAGGCAGGACGTTCACCATCGTCCTCTGACTTCCACATGCATACATAGGTACATGCACTGACACACACACATGTTCAGACATCACACACACACACACACACACACACACACACACACACACACACACACACAAA